CAGAGCCTTGTGGCACTCCAGATTTTATTATTCTAGGTTCAGAAAATAAAGGACCGTTTTCAGTTTTAATTTTAGTAAGTTGCATTCTGTCTTTAATATATGGAATCAAACCAATCATGAAATTTGTTATGAATTCCATAGAAAAATAGTTTGGCCAATAGGCAGCTAAAATCTATTGAGATTTTGACAAAATTATCTAAAAGCGTGAGGCTTAATACTCTAGAAGAGTCGATAGCCCGTAAAACATCATCAACCACAGCCGCAAGTACCGTTTCTGTACTAAAATTTTTACGAAATCCTAATTGGTTAGAAGATAGAACATTATTAGAAATGAAGTGAATGATGGTTGAGCTGATTATAAATAACTCGTTCCGCTATTTTAAGGAAAACTGACAACAAACTAATAAGTCGTAAATCTGCAAAATCTTTAGCGTGCGATTTCTTAGGAATAGGGGTAACAATTGATGCTTTCCATTGATACGGAACAACTCCAGTTTTAAAAGAGTAATTAATTATATTTGTAAGAGGAAAAGCAATCACAGGCGTACATATTTGTAACATATTCCCAGAAAAACCATTAAACCCAGTATTATGCGGTTTTTGTTTATAAATCTAACTTTCAATTTCATTAACAGAAAGAGGTAAATATTCAAGAGCAGTAGTATTAGGGTTGGAGTCTAAAAAATAATCATTAATAGCATCTGGATCCATAATATTTTTTGACATAGCACCAATATTCAGTTCCCTCCAGAGCATTTTAGCACCATGCTTTACAAGACTGAAGCGCTGATGATAAAAGATAGATTTCTCTTGGTCTATAGCATTATCATACTGATTTCTCAAATCACAATAAAATCTTCGACTGGCTTCATTTCTCAATGATTTATAACGATTTAAGGCATTTATTGTAAGCTTTTTCATTTGCAATAATGTATAAGTAAACTAAGGCTGACGTTTTTTATACGATTAAAACTCAATAGTTACAAGAGGCGCATGCTTATCAAACAGCTCAATAATGGAAGAATTAAAATAATGAACCTTAAAATTAATGTTAGCATTCTAGTATAAAGAGGTCCAGTCGATAGAATTTAGGTCTTCCTTAAAATTTGAAACAAAATTTGCAAAGGATCTATAATGATTTGAGTGTTTTACGTTTTTCTATTGAAAAATCCAATGCGCAGTATATTAAATTATGATCAGCGAAACATTTATCACTAACGCCAGATTCAATAACTGGAAGTGTGTCATTAAGAATAATATGGTCAACCAACGTGGCTGAAATTGGGGTAATTCTAGTAGGGCCATTAATAATTTGTTTGCACTATAACTCCTCAAATGTCAAAGTAACCTAACAGAGTCATTAGAAAAAGCTATCAAATCAATACTAAGATCACCTAAAATAAGAAAATTCTGTTCATTCAACAATATAAAATAATTAACGAGATCAACAAATTCATGACAGGAGAAGTTACATTTATTATAATTATAAATGACAGAGACAATGAAATTCATTATTCTTGTAAAAATTCCTTCCCCCAAAGTAGGATGGTCCTTACGAACTAAACAATAACCGGGCAATCGTCGCATTAGCGATTCTGATCTGTGCCAATCTGGAACATTCATGACATAAAGTTTCTATAAGCTATATTATAAAATTTTTCATCAGAAGACTTTAGTGAATGAGGCAGAAAATTAAAAAGAATGGGCAAATTTTTGGCCTTCTGAGATTCTGACCTGGGTCAATTGTATTGCAACATTCGCTATAGAAATATTCAAAACGGTATCTTGTCAGGATTTTGATAGTCACAAAATGAAAAAGATTTCTATATAAATTATTATTATATTATATTATTAAATTAAATTAATTTCAAGGTCACAGTAATTTGATCCCCCAGAAACCTGACAATTTTTGTTGGAAATATTTTTCACCATCCTGCTTATTTCTTGAGATATTCTGATAATTAAAATGGAACGGTAAAAGTATAGCGCACTCTAGCGAAAGAAGCATTTTCAACAAAAAAATTTATTACAGAGGTTACGTATTTTTCCCCGCAGAATACGAATCTGCAATAAAAAATATGAATTTCCATTTAAACAATCAAGGTTGACCTTGAAATGAATTTAATAATTGACTTCAAGGCCACCATAATTTGACCCCCTCGAAACCTGATCGAAATATTTTTTTATACAAGTCGAATTAAAAGAATTATGCTGCCTGGTACATTAAAATGGGACACCTCAGGCTGTCTACTATAAGTGATTCACTCCTACGGATCACGTCGACGCACGTCACAAAGAGATCCTTGGCCACCTTTATAAGTAATCATAAAAAATAAGAAGTCCGAAATTTTAGGGCTATCTAACTTTTTTATATTACGAGATAGAAAACTCATTGTAATAAACAGATGTTTGAAGTATCGTATGTAATTTGCAGCGCCACCTACGTGGATATAAAAAACATTCTCATCGCAGTGCCACAAAAAACTGCTTGTTTTTCCCTCTTTCATGCAGTATACTACATGTCGCCTTTATCTTTTCGTGTTGTTAAAGTTAATATAGCAATTATTATAAACGCGCTAACTACAAAAAATGTAATAAATATAATGTACACCTTTTAAGCAAAATACAGATTTTCTTATCACATTATTATTAGCGAGAATTAAGCCTTCAACATTTTCTTGTATAGACAAAGTAGCTTACGCTAAATGTAGTAAGATATGAAAAACAAATATGTTACCTCAATAATGTCATAATTTATATGTAACTGTTGATTTGAAAATTGTTACAGTTGATTGTGATTTGAAAAACCACAATTTTAAACAAGTATTTTTAAATATTGAAAATTGAGAAGTACCTATATGTTTGTGTTGTTTCAATTCTATTCAAGCACTGCCGGAATATAGAAATAGATTCCCAAATGCCCTTCGAAGCTATGGATCTTTTAAGAAGTACAGAACAATAAAATCAGCTAATGTTATTAATACATAACATAATTTTAAATTACGTAAATAGGAAAACTGACCAAAATAGTGATACATTTTTGAGAGAAATTAAAGTAAACTGCAATGTAAAGAAGGACAGTGGAAGAAGGATATTACGGAAAAATGGTTTCAAATATTATAAAGCGAAAAAAGTGCATCACTTAAGGCAGGAAGATAAAACGAGGAGATTAAGTGTCTGTGGGTGGTTACAAGAACGACGGAAGATCCTTTTAATACAGAAGAATTCTCTGAATTCTCTGATCAGATCAGAGTCTAACTTTGTAACAATGGATTTTTTAATAGAAATATTCATTTTAAATGACACATAAAAACCGCATTTCAAACAGTAAACGGATAGGAATTCTTGGAACCAAAATTATAGGAGAAAAACATTGGTTCGATCAAGTGTGTTACATTAATTTAATTGTTCAATAGTGAAATAAGTAATGCTAAACTATAAACAAATTTTATTTAAAGGACCCCGCACAAACCTTATATACTTCAGGTACCGGTGGATTTGTTTGGATTTTTGGTATTTTGTACTGATATCCTCCTGATCAAAAGTGTCAATGGGCATAAAGTCCAAAAATAGTTTTCGAGATACCGAGAAGCAAAGTCCCCCAAAATGAAACATTTCTCGGGACCGAACAGTAATTAGATATACGATTTTGGAACATAATAGATATTTAAGTGCAATATATTCATATATTTGGCCCAATTAACTCCCATAATCCATCTACCCTTAAGATACTTTATCTTATAAAAGTATTTATATGTAAAGTACGCTTTATCTCGTGGTGAATGCGTAACGTTATTTACTTCAATATGGAAATCTATAGATTATTCATATTCGTTATTTCAAAAGAATGCCGTTTTATGGATTTTTCTCAAAAATTTTAAATGCAATGCTATAGTTTGTCTTTACAGAAATGAATACATAAGTTTGAAATTTCTATCGACAGTGTTGTTTAAATGGTATAGCATATTTACTTATTTATTGGCGCTATTTATCCAAGTTTATGTTGTTTCACCTTTCCTTAAAAAAGTGAAATAGCAGGATAAAACTTTTTATAGGTTAGTTAAAGAGTAAAAAAATAGCTACATTTTAACGCCAAAAAGGGTTCGATATCTTTTTTGTCAGATTATTCACAAATTAGTGATGAGAATGATAATAAATTGGAGAACACGACGCTGACGAAAAGACATTTAATTACCAAAACAAAATGCATTTATAAAAGAACCTACCTAAACGTTAGTAATATGTGCCTAAACCAAGCGTGAGTCAATATCTTGAAAATAATATTAACAAAAACAATAACAAACAGATATTGATATTATGTAACGAAAGAACAATTAAATTTTAACAAAAGTAAAGATATTTATAAATGCTCGAAATGCCATTATTTTCAATGCAGGGATTTAACCTTCGCTGCGTGCTTAGCACTGCAGATTCGATTTCTGCTCTTGAAATGGCGACAATAGCACCTCGTATGCTTTGTCGCATAATTTCCGCAGTGGTAGGGAGAGTTTGAAACCAATATCTTTATTTTTTCCCCACAAATAAAAAATCAGTAACGGTAAGATCCGGGGACCTAGGCGGCCATGGAAAAGACGTCCTCGTCTGATCCAACAGTTGGGAAACCTTTCATCCAAAAAATCACAAACTCTCCGAAAAAAGTGTGCATGCTGAAAACACATGGTTGATAATTGGTTTGTCAAAAAATCCAAATAGATATCGCCATTTAAATGTACATCAATAAAATAGGGTCCGATAATCTCACCGTCCAAAATGCCACACCACAGATTAATACTCCACCGATTTTGATGATCGACTTCTCGCATCCAATGGAGGTAATGCATATTGTGTAAGTTAACTCCTCCATTACTCCACTACTCAATGTGATAGAGATGCAGGTTATGATTTATTAAAATTCTATGCTAATGTTTTACTTATGCCTAAGTAAAAGGATATTCGTCTTGTATTCATATGAGGACTAACGTGGACGTAGGCAAGAACGTTTATAATGTTGCTTTCGTTTCTAACATTCCTTCTGGGTGTTGGAATTCGATGCACTTGTCCAGTTTGACGTATAACATTACGGGCTTTTGATGAGCCAATCCTTAAAAAAATGCATTTTTCTGATCAGACATTGTGCCTCTTAGCAGCCGAGCTATGAACTTGAAAACTATTTCTAGCGATTTGTCTTGGCCGATTTTTGGAAAAAAAATTCCGAAGCTCTAGGACCTATACTTTGCCTAATATCGTACCTCGCCGACCTTAGTAGGACACCCTGTATATGTGAAATTAGAAAAAATAATTTCGTTGACATCACAGCCTTTAGGCCGATATAACTACAAACATTAACATAGAAGTCAAATACTTATATATA